GCCCCATTGATTTCTCCGAGAGATTTGGATTCCGCAAGTGGACCGACAGCGAGAAGGAGGCCGCGTATGTTGTGTGGCACGACGTGGGCGTGAGGATGGGCATCACAACCATCCCAGATAGCATTCCAGAGATGCGGGAGTACATTCGCGATTACGAGGCCAAGAACGCCATCTTCACGGACAAGAACAAGAGCATCGTCCAGGATCTCAAGCATCTGGTGCTGGATGCATTTCCTCACCCCGTGCAGCCGCTGGTCGAGACTGGGATCTGTGCACTCATCGATCCCACAATCAGGAGCGCTGTTGGATTGGAAAGGCCTCCAGCAATTGTGGAGTGGATCATCTTGGGTGCGTTCAAGCTGCTGGCCGGGAGCTTCGTGTCCGCGTTCTTGCCTCCCAGACGTGTGGAGGATGCAAAGGGCAGCATTGAGGTGGACTGGTGTCCCAATCCCGCTGCCAATCCGGAAGAGTACCGGCAGCTCAACGTGAATGTGTATCGGCCACCAGCATTCGAGAAGGGATACAAGCTGGCGGAGCTGGGAGCACTGAAATCAGGCAAGCTTGGACCATACTACGATGGAGGCTTGCGCTGCCCCTTCCGGCAAATGCACGCATAGGAATAGAACGGGCATAGGACAGTCGGTCGGAGAACAGAGCATCATTTAAAAATGCGTAGTTTACATGAATCTTTTTGTAATTTTAGCGGAAAGGTGGCTAACAAAACCAGATGTTCGAAACAAAATTTAGTTTTATCCAAATGGGGAAAAAGAATATCAGAAACACACTTCTTTCTTTCAAGTGGCCATGATGACCTCCCGGAGGCGGTCGACGAGCTCCGGATTGATCTGGAACGCCTTCTCAAGCACAGCATCGGTGATGGCGGGATTGGACGCAAACACGGCCTTGGCAACTGCGGTGACACCGGCGTTCTGGGAGTTGAATCCCGCGAGAGCCACGGCAGGGGTCTCGCCGACATTGAGCTGGAAGTGCACAAGCCCCCGAGGGAACACGAAGAGATCACCTGGATGCAAGGTCTGCGCGAAGAGCGTGTTGTTGGTGGTGCTCACGAATCCCGCGTAGAGAGTCCCCTGCTGAACGTAGAGGATCTCAGTGCCCCGGGGATGGACGTGAGGGGCATTGAGACCGAATGGAGCGTAGTCGACCCTTGCGAAGGAGACTCCTAGGGTGTTGAGCCCCGGGAAGGAGATCACGTTTCCGGCGGTGACGGCGGAGCCAAGCTTGTTGTTGGTGTTCCCGGATTTCTGGAGGCCCGAGAACTTGAAGTCGGCAGCGGCGGTGGCGGCAGCGGGCTTGCAGGTGAAGCCGTTGATGATGGGGGCAGCGGCGCTGGTGTCGCGCACGCAAAAGTCTTGGAGTGCGTCCGGGTCGGCGAGTGAGAATGCAGCAGAGATGGTGACGAGGATCGCGAGGAGAATTGCACGGGAACTAGACATGGCGATGATGTTGCTTTGAATACTCGCTTCGCTTTGCTTTCTTGGTGATAGAAACCAGGAGATTAGCAGATTGATGTTGTTCTTTCTTGAGAAGCTCCTTGTTGCTCTTGAGAGATGGAATGCTCTCCTGATTTTGCTGGCTTTTGAAGTGGGATGAGATGCTTGGTTTGATCTCAAGGCTAAGATCGTTTATATAGTCGCAGAAAAACACTGACTTTGTCAAACTGATTTCTCCGAGGATGACGAAATCCAGTGTGTAGGGAGTCACAAAACAAAAGGCAACGCGTATATCAAACTATTGCTAAGCCTTGTGCCGGCCCGCCTTTGTGCAGTTCATCTCCACCAGGGTCGGCAGCAGCATATTAAAGAAGCATCTTCTTGAAGTTTAAAGAAATAAATAAGAGACAGAACTTTGCTCAAGAACATTTCTCTGGAAGAGTAAGAGCTGCAAGGAGCTCTGGAGGAGGATTGTCAAGAATCAGCGAGGTGTGAAGGGCCCTCCTTCGCAGTGGGATGTTGACAAGGTCTGTCGTAAACCCACATCCTCACGATGTGGCATTAGACAAAAAGAGATACATTGTGCATGCAAAACACAGAACCTCCATCCCCTTCATTGATCTTGCAATTCTTGAGCGGCTCCTCAGCCTTGGAGCAGCATCCATATGAAGGAGAACAAGGTGCTAGTAAAAATTTGTTCTTGTTCACCAGAACCCTCCACAAGAGCATTTCCCATCTTCAAACACATGAAACCTGCTCGAATCCCTGCACACCACACTCCTCTTCTCAACCCTCGAAACGAAAGCAGTCACAGCGTGACAATCCTCGCAAACCCTCAAGTTCTTGGCAATCCGAATGGGACCCTCATCACCCTTCAAGTTGATGAGCGCGCAAGCCATAGCAAACCTCTCACTATGCCCACACAAGGCATCCCTCCTATCCCCCTCGGCCATCCCTTCGCCCCGCAAGGCACACCTCAAATCCGGGACGAAGCCGTGATCGCAAATCTTGGCCATAAACTCCGCCACCTTTGCCACGATCATCTCGCCCTGCGGGTGATGGCTGCAATCCCCGGCCCAAAACCTGTGCACGCCACCGCCCTCGTCGATCCACCAGCTTTCTCCAGCTTGCTTGAAAGCTCCCACACTCCTCCGCATGGCCTGGATCGCCATGGATTCCTCCCACATTCCAGCGCCAGCGTATGCATTCGCCATGAGAGCGTACGCCGCGCCGTCGCCAGCGTCGATCTTGACGAGCTCCTCGAACGCCACCCTCCCGATCTCGGTGTTCCTCCACTTGGAGCACGCGCCCAGTAGCGTCGTCCAGATCATCGCGTTGGGTTCCAGCGGCATCGCACGGATCGTCGCGAGCGCATCGCCCAGGTGCCGCGCTCGCCCCAGGAGATCCACCATGCAGCCGTAGTGCTCGATCTTTGGAGCTATGCCGTGGTGGAGCTCCATTGCCAGGAAGAACTCGCGGCCCTTGTCCACGAGCCCGGCGCGGCTGCACGAGGTGAGGATCGAGAAGAAGGTAGGGCTCGTCGGCGGGATCTTTCGCTCGATCATCCGGTCGAAGAGCTCGAAGACGCGATCCTCGCGCGATCCCTGGTGGCTGTATCCGGCGATGAGCGCGTTGTAAGTCACGGAATCTCTCTCACCACTGGCGATGGCGTCGAAGATCCTGTGAGCTTCTTCCACCTCTCCACACCTTCCATAGAAACCAATGAGGGAATTCGCCACCACCGTGCTGTTCTTGAGCCGCCCGGCACGGATCATCGCGTGGATCTTCTTCCCGGTCGCCAGATCCGCGAGGCTGGCGCACGCCTTGAGTGCTGCGATGAAGCTCTGCGCGCTGGCCTCCATTCTTTCCTGCTGGACCAAGCGGTGGAAGAGCTCCAGCGCGATCTCGCCATCGCCGGCGTGGGCGTAGCTAGCGATCATCGCGTTCCACGCCACGAGATCCCGCCGGGGCAGCCGATCGAACACCCCTCTCGCCTCCGCCACCGATCCAGCTCGCGAGTAGCCCTCGATGAGCGCGCTGGCGACAAAGAGATTGGTCTCGAATCCATCCCTGGCGAGCTGCGTGTGGATTGCTGCGATGCTCTCCACGCTCGCGGCCTTCACCACTCTCCCATTCATCGATCTCTTCCCTTCCTCACTGGCTCCTGCGGCGATGGAAGCCTTGATCCCCGCGACGTAAGCCCGCGCATCGATCGCCGAAAGCTCGCTCCTCATCCTCGCGAATGCCGCAAGAGCTCGTTGGCCATCGCCGCACTGCGCATAGCCCATCACCATCGTCGTCCACGCCGCCACACTCTTGCGATCGATCCTCTCAAAGATTGTGCTCGCCTCGTCCATTCTCCCACACTTGGCGCACAGGTCCACCATCGCAGTGGCCGCGAATCCATCCAGATCGTCGCCGGTCACCGCGAGGAAGCCATAGATCACCCGTCCTCGATCCAAGAACACCGCCCTCGATGGGATCTTCTTCTCCTTGGCAGCAGCGATGGCGCAATCTCCGATAGCCGCCACGCTCGCCCGGCGATTGATCGCGAGCCCGTGCCGTCTCATCCGATCAAAGAACTCAACCGCCGCGGCCACCTCGCCGGATTGGACGTAGCCCAGGATCAGTGCCGTCCACGCCAGCGCGTTGCGACGATCGCCCAGGAAGACTTTCCTTGCATCAGCCATGCTTCCACACTTGGAATACATCTCCACCAGCGCGCTCGCCACGGATGGATCTCTCTCGAGATTCAAACTGGAGAGCTTTGCGTGGAGAGCTCTCCCTCTCTCCAGGCTCGCCATCTTCCCATGATCTTCGCTGGTGGCCATGCTCGAGCAAGCAGTGATCGCAGCAATGAAACTCCTAGCATCTGGTCTGACGTGACGATCGTTTTCTTTCTCCATCCGGTGGAAGATCTCCAAGGCCATGACTCCTTTGCCAGTGTGAGCGTATCCCTCGATGAGCGCGTTCCAGGAATCCAAGCCTCGCTCCACTGGCATTGTCTCGAAGAGCTGGCGGGCTGTGGCGATGCTGCCACACTTCGCGTACATTTCCACCAGAGCGTTCCATATGCCGGTGTGGAGGTCTCTCCCATCGCCGTGGAGATGGACTAGCTCGGCGTGGATTCTCGAGCCTCGATCTAGATCCCGGATGGAGCGGCAGGCTTTGAGAGCGGCGATGGAGGTGGCGAGAGGCGGAGTGGTGCCGGAGTCGAGCGTTTCTTGGTAAGCTTGTCGAGCTTCTCTGTTGTTGATCTTCTTCCGGGAAGATGATTTGGGAAGAGATGGATCGCTAAATTTCTTTGACTCGAGATTTTCGCATCGATCGATCCATTTCTTCTCACAGGTGGAAGTCGACTGTGGTACAAAGAAAGAAATGAAATAGACTGCGAAATAAGAAGAAACTCTACCTTCTTCTTCCTTTCGTGGAGATGCCCTTGCTCCATGGCCGCATTCCTTAGGAAAGAACAGATCGCGGGCGCTCTTGAGATGGGCAGGGGCAAGCGCATCGCGGCCCATTGCCCAAGAACCCTAATCCCCATTTCTCTACGCGGGGGTTTTAGCTGCTCTGTTTTTCTAGGGTTAGGTCGATGCTGCTACTGGCGCTATGGGCGACGCTGGCGACGATCGCGTCCACAACCGGTGAGACTAGCCCTCTCTCCAATTGGATTGATGTGATCGCATTCTTCGGGCAGGAGAGATATGCGTCTCGCAAGGCAATCGATTCCCGAAATTCTCCCTGGAGGGGTGGGCTCCTCGCAAATCGCCCCGCGGCACAGACGCGCTGAAGCTGTGTAGGATCTTCAGCGGCAGGACGTGCTGCACAGGGATCCAGACGCAACACGCGCTGCTAGCACTGAGAAATCTGGCCGTGAATGGAGAGGGCGATGAGGTGTGCCAGTCCGTGTGGGAAGTTCTCGAGTGCTCCGTGTGTCATCCTCGGGTTGGAACTTCGCCGGGGCCTCCAGCGATCTGCCAGGATTTTTGCAATGTGGTATTCTCGTCTTGCTCCTCGGCATTCTTCGCCATGGATCAACCCAAGCAAGTAAGCTTTTTTCTTTCCTTTCTTTCTTCCTTTAACACCATCTTAGTTCTTCTCGAGCTTTCTTTCTTTGTTTTCTCTTCTTCCGATCATCTTGCTTCCTGCTTTTGTTAAGTTTTTCTCTTCGCCAGAGTCTTCGTCACCTCATTCTTCTCGAGCTTTGGTTTTTTCTTTGGTTTTGGTTTTGGTGTTGGTTTTTGGTTGTCCTATCTACTCGCATTGTAGAGGAAGGACTGATATCTTTCGATTCATACAGGCTCTGCTACCTTGCGGCTCGTCCGAGATTATCTGCGCGCAAGGAACGGAGTGGACAAGGAACAGTAGCCACTTCTGCGAGTTAGCCGGCTTCCGAGTGGTGGAACGCGCAAGCGGAGAGTTTTGCTACGATGGAACGCCAGGGGAATCACTGGAGAAGACGAGTCCATCAAGCAAAGATCAGAAAAAGAAGAAGCAGAAGAAGCAAGACAGAACGCCGAGTCCGGAAAGCCCGAGCAAGAAGTTTGATCGCGCGTTCCTGATGACGGACAAAGTTCTCTGGGCGGTCGCAGGCCTCGTTCTCACAGCCGGTGCCGTGCTCTTCAGGTGAATTTTTTTTTTCTTTCTTCTCCTTTTTTTTTAGGCTGAGTCGCTTTCTGTTTTGGATCCAGGCAAAGAGGATCACGATCTCGGCAGCGTCGAGCCGCACTGATGAAATCACTAAAAGAGGCGAGATCTTCACAGCAGGCGGCGTACGATAAGAAAAGCTAAGCTTTTCTTGTGTATTTTTACTTCTGTAAAGATGCATTTGTTATTTGCATCTCTAAAGACATGGCGCGTCGACCTTACCAGGACTCAAAAGCGGAAGCTGTTGATGCTTGGTTTGCAGCTTGTCATGCCGATTGTGGAAGAAGCTGCTGCCATAGTTTCTTTCTTTATAGCTGAACAGGAAGCATTGCTTGAGAGTACGGAGAGGTCCAATGCTTCACTGCAAAAGAGGGCCCTTCACACTTCACTGATTCTTGATAATCCCCCTCCACAGCTCTTACTCTTCCAGAGGAAAGTTCTTGATCAAAGTTGTGTTTCTTATTTATTTCTTCAAAATCCAAGAAAATGCTTCTTTAATATGGTGCTACCGACCATGGTGGAGATGAACTGCACAAAGGCGGGCCGGCACCAGGCATAGGAATAGTTTGATATACGCGTTGCCTTTTGTTTTGCGACTCCCTACACACTGGATCTCTTCATCCTCGGAAACATCAGTTTGACAAAGTCAGTGTTTTTCTGCAACTATATAACCGATCATAGCTTTGAGATCCTACCAAACATCTCATCCCAAGCCAGCAAACATTTCAGGGCAACATTTCATCTCTCAGGAGCAACAAGGAGCTTCTCAAGAAAGAACAACATCGATCTGCTAAATCTCCTGGTTTCTATCACCAAGAAGGCAAAGCGAAGCGAGTTTTCAAAACGAGATCATCGCCATGTCTAGTTCCCGTGCAATTCTCCTCGCGATCCTCGTCACCATCTCTGCTGCATTCTCACTCGCCGACCCGGATGCACTCCAAGACTTTTGCGTGCGCGACACCAGCGCCGCTGCCCCCATCATCAACGGCTTCACCTGCAAGCCCGCTGCCGCCACCGCCGCTGCCGACTTCAAGTTCTCGGGCCTCCAGAAATCCGGGAACACCAACAACAAGCTTGGCTCCGCCGTCACCGCCGCAAACGTGATCTCCTTCCCGGGGCTCAACACCCTCGGAGTCTCCTTCGCAAGGGTCGACTACGCTCCATTCGGTCTCAATGCCCCGCACGTCCATCCCCGGGCCACTGAGATCCTCTACGTTCAGCAGGGGACTCTCTACGCGGGATTCGTGAGCACCACCAACAACACGCTCTTCGCGCAGACCTTGCATCCGGGTGATCTCTTTGTGTTCCCTCGGGGCCTTGTGCACTTCCAGCTCAATGTCGGCGAGACCCCTGCGGTGGCTCTTGCAGGATTCAACTCCCAGAACGCAGGTGTCACCGCGGTCGCCAAGGCCGTGTTTGCGTCCAATCCCGCCATCACCGATGCTGTGCTTGAGAAGGCGTTCCAGATCAATCCGGAGCTCGTCGACCGCCTCCGGGAGGTCATCATGGCCACTTAGTGTGTTTCTCTTTGTGTATGATATTCTTTTTCCCCATTTGGATAAAACTAAATTTTGCTTCGAACATCTGGTTTTGTTAGCCACCTTTCCGCTAAAATTACAAAAAGATTCATGTAAACTACGCATTTTCAAATGATGCTCTGTTCTCCGACCGACTGTCCTATGCCCGTTCTATTCCTATGCGTGCATTTGCCGGAAGGGGCAGCGCAAGCCTCCATCGTAGTATGGTCCAAGCTTGCCTGATTTCAGTGCTCCCAGCTCCGCCAGCTTGTATCCCTTCTCGAATGCTGGTGGCCGATACACATTCACGTTGAGCTGCCGGTACTCTTCCGGATTGGCAGCGGGATTGGGACACCAGTCCACTTCAATGCTGCCCTTTGCATCCTCCACACGTCTGGGAGGCAAGAACGCGGACACGAAGCTCCCGGCCAGCAGCCTGAACGCACCCAAGATGATCCACTCCACAATTGCTGGAGGCCTTTCCAATCCAACAGCGCTCCTGATTGTGGGATCGATGAGTGCACAGATCCCAGTCTCGACCAGCGGCTGCACGGGGCGAGGAAATGCATCCAGCACCAGATGCTTGAGATCCTGGACGATGCTCTTGTTCTTGTCCGTGAAGACGGCGTTCTTGGCTTCGTAATCGCGAATGTACTCCCGCATCTCTGGAATGCTATCTGGGATGGTTGTGATGCCCATCCTCACGCCCACGTCGTGCCACACAACATACGCGGCCTCCTTCTCGCTGTCGGTCCACTTGCGGAATCCAAATCTCTCGGAGAAATCAATGGGGCTGACCACGTTGAGGCAGAGGACGTAGGCGAATTGGTCGTTTGGGATCTTGAATTTGTTGTGGATTCCATTCAATCTCCTCACCGCGTACGAGCCGCGATCGCTGTCGACGTGGTGGTGGATCATCTCGCTCACCAGAATGTTGGTCTCGGCGGCGCGCTTCTGCGGATCCTTGAGGCCGTACTTGGTCTTGAAGAGCAGATTTGTGATCCCCGGGATGCCGAGCGTGCGGATTGTGCCAAACTCGAGCGCCTTTTGCGAGAGGAAGGGGAATTCCACCGAGTACATGTACCACAGGATCTTGTGTGCGTCTCTCACGGGGTGGAGCGACGCTAGAAATCGTGCCCTCTCTTCTCTCTTGCGGATACACACCATCTTCCATGCTGCAGCCATCACGAGAAACGCAATCATCAACACGATTGCAGCCATGTTGAAATTGATCGATCTGATCAACTTGATTGGAGAATGGCTGCTTTTGTTTTCTACTCCTCTGTGGGTTGAGGAAACAGAGGCTGGAGAAGGGTCTTTTATACTATCAGAGCTATCATTTCACGTTTTTTTTATTTCCGTGTGATCCGTATTTTGTACCATACACGTAGCCATATACTTGGGAGAGAAATCTTTTTTGTTTTATTCGGTGCACGTTTTCCATACAATTATCTGGTCCATGCAATATATCGGTCCTACCAACTTCGTTTAAGATAGTTTCACCATCCACAAAGTAATGTAGGTTTTCACGAAATATAATCCCACGGGCTTTTCTTCCTTGCCTTCGCCCCTCCTCCTCCTCCTCTTCCTTCATCACGGGTTCGTATGCCTCCCCGATGTCTTCCGGACACGACTTGATCCACTGGCTGCAAATCGGGCACTTCATCTGGATGGTCGATATTTGCACCACGCACTCCTCACACATGAGATGGTTGCACGGCAGCAGCGCTTTTGTTCTCGTCCCCTCCCCGCATACACTGCACTCAGGATCATATTTATCCTGTAGCTGGCATTCGGCTTAGGCACCGTACAGCGTACGATGAGCTGCCACCCTTCCGCCATAGCCGTGATCTTGGCCCCGAGCACGTACTTGATGGCAGCGAAGCCGTAATCTCCAACTGCCCGAATCTCCAAGGATTGTCGTGAGGATGAGATCCACGAAGGAGCCCTAGTCGAAGAACCAGCTCAATCCCAGGCCAAAGACCGTAAGCTTGTGACATTGGGGTGATCTTGGTGAGATCTAGGAAGCGTGATTGTTGATGTGTTCTTGTTGTTGCTGACTGCTAAAGGAAGTTGTGGTTTTACTACCTTGTTGTTGCTGCCTACTTACGTGGTTTTACTACTTTCAATCTTGATTTTTTTGTTGTTTCCATAGCAAAAAATTGTAAAAAATAGTTAACACAACTCAAGCTACTTCTCTCTACACTTCTTATGCAGGCAACAATGAATGGAAATGACTAGTGGCTGGCTCACTGGTTTGATCGAGCATGATAGTAAGGACTTCATACTGCCACTGCTTCTTTCCCCGCTGCTGGGCGGCCTTTTAAGCGAGTTGCTCGTATTTAACCCAGGGCACAAAATGTGGAGCATAGTCATTAAGTAATCCCCATCATTCTGTGAAGTTTTACTCATCGAGATTTGGTTCTAAGAGATAACTTGCTCAAGCTGGGCATGCTCCTCCCTCCTCCCTACAGCTGCCGCATAGATATTCGCCATGAGAACGTAAGCTCAAACACCACCCTTCCAAACTCCATATTCTTCCAATTCGCACACGCGCCAGCACCACCATCCAAATCCTCACGTTTGCTTCCACCGGCATGCTCCTCAAAACACCTACAGCCTCCTCGATTTTGTTTTCTCCTCCCAGCAAATCCACCAGGCAAGTGCAGTGCTTGATCCCAAGAGCTAAATCGCATGTTTTCTTCAGCATCTCGAAGAGCTCCCTGCCTGGATCGACCAGTCCGGCAGCCGTGAGAACCGAGAGGAATGTTGGAGCATCCAGCTTGCACCACTCCTCTTGCATCCTCCCGAACAATTCAAACACCTTGGCAGTGTTTCGTGGATGGCGGTATCCTGCTATCAGTGCGTTCCAAGTTACCGACTCTCGCCTCCCCTCAGGAGTGGCAAACACTCGCTGGGCTTCCACCATGCTGCCGCATTGGCCGTAGACAAAACCAGTATAAAAGGCACATTCTCTACGATAAAAATCTCCACACTGTCTGCGTCCTAGTCCCTGACCAAGCTCCGGCCGATTTTCAGCAGCCTCTTTAAGCCCGAGTCATTGTTCTTGATCTTGTGCGGGACGTAGATCACTTCCACATCCGGAGGGATTGGTCTCGCTGCTATCATGCCTTGCACTCGCGGCTGGAAGCTCGCGGCCTTGATCTCTTGCTGCAAGCTTCCATCCTTTGTCGCCATCTTAGTTCTTTTTCTTTCCTTCTTCTCTCTTCGTGATTGTTTCCTCTTATCTTGCTTCGAGCTTTTGTTAAGTTTTCGGTCTTCTTCATCACTTGATTCTTCTCGAGCTTTTGGTTTTGTTGGTTTTGGGTTTGGGTTCTCTAAAATGCAAGAAGATAAGCAACAGGAAGGATTGATATCTTTCGATTCATACAGGCTCTGTTATCCGAGGTCATCTGCGTGCAAGGAACGGAGCAAGGAACAGTAGCCACGTCTGCGAGTTAGCTGGCTTTTGAGTGGTGGAACGCCTGCAACCGCCCAGAGAACTTTGTCCGTCATCAGGAAGGCGCGATCAAACTTCTTCCTTGGGCTTCCTGGACTTGCCGTTCTTTCGTGCTTCTTCTTTTTCTGATCTTGCTTGCCCAATGACTCCCCTGGCATTCCATTGTAGCAAACCTCTCCGCTTGCGCCTCGTTCTCACTGCCGGTGCCATGCTCTTCAGGTGAAAAAAAAGCTTCTCCTTTTTTGAGGCTTATAGTCGCTTTGTGTTTGATCCGGGCGCAGCGTTGAGCGGCACTAATGAAATCACTGAAAGAGGCGAGAGCTTCTCGCATTTGTTATTTGCCACATCAGCAAATATAACTCCA